TTGACGTCAATTTATCTTGCTTCCACAAGAAAGTTGAAGTGCTAGCTTGATATACCGCACAATACGATCACTATCAACTTCAAGCCACAAGCTGTCGACAATCTTCCTAGTACCTTTTGCTTTCGCAAATATCAATCCTTTCATTCAAGGCGAGCAATTCGGTAATGCTATAAACCACGGCATCCTTCTCCATACCTTCCTCTCTCGTTCTTTCAACTTCAAGAAAATCTCCTCCCGAAACACAATATCTCGTTTAGATCACAAGCTTTTTTATTTGCGCATTCAACACCAGAGATTTTCAAAGCTCTTAAAATCATACAATTGGGTCAATTTCAACGTGCCTTCGCAAATTTTTTCTCGTGGGCTATAGTTCGGACGACGCCAAGCTTCTCTTTGATCAAGTTTCCCTCTTTTTTCCATCAACTACGTTGAAAAAATCCCTCACAGCGACCCACCTCTGTCATATCACACCTTCCTCAAAAGAACTTCAACTATAGTCGTTTGATATCCGCCATACCATCAGTATTTGCAAGGTCTTCCTTCTATTCAACTACCCTCACAAAGCCCCTGGGATTACCGAATCTCCGGAAGCTCGTTTAGCTCCTTCAATTTCGATCCTTCCCATTTTGCATCCACACCAGAGAGTTTTTCTAGGACGGCTGTCTCGTACGATCCTAGAATCACGTCATTTGGATATACCAACCTTTTCTACGTCTTCAACTTATTGATCTCTGACCATTAACCATATTGACCATCTCTTTCCTCTTTACTTTAATATACGGTTTATACATTGCAATAAATATAATTTGCATTCAGGGCTTATTTTTGTTGAGAATATTCACTGAAGAACCCCTTTCCATTAGCAACAGTTGTCGTTTATCGATTTCTAGAACTTCATTTCCCCAGTAGGGAGTAAACAAGAGATTAATCGTACGACAAGCTTCATTACTCCGTACACTTCTCATAACTCTTTATTTCAGACCTCTTGCAATTTCCAGCTGGAGAGTCTTGTCCATTGTCCCAATACTTCATCTGTCTAAAGGAGATTTGTCAGTTTCTATTTGTTTCTTAAGACCGCACACTTCTGTTCTATGATTCTGATGTTTATGACGTCATGCTAACACATTCTATAGACCTCCGAAGATCATAAAGCCTTTTAAAAGAGTAAGTAAACTCTCCCCAGTCAAGACCCCAGATATCTCGCCCTCCACAAGATGTTATTTCCCATCTTCTTCCTATGTCCTCGAGCCAAGTCAAGAAACAATTCATTCCTCTTCCGCCTTTTCTCATATCAATACTAACATATTCAGAGGGTGAAAATGGAGCCCATTACCGAGGAGACGGCCGGTTTCCGCCAGGCAGCCCAAAGTTACCTGGCGGAAAACCGCGCCGAGATGGAGTCGTTAATCCACGAAAGCACCGATCGGCTCATGGAGCAAACACGGGTTCCGGCCCAGGAGGCCCATAGCTGGGAGACGAGGACTGTCGAGCTCCAAACAGAGTTCATGGTAAGTTGTTCTTCCAATTTTACTTCGCGTTGAGGTTTGTTATTAGAGTTGATGTAGAACGTGAAAATTTCATATTTGGCAATTTGCTCTGATACATCCTCCAAACGTCGAACAAAAGCATTGGTAATTTTGAACAACAAATCCTGACCTTCACAGGAACTCTTGAAACAATATCTGGAAGCGGGAGGCGCTGTCCTCGCCGCACCCATATACCGTGCGGATGCCCGTAAGCTCAAACACTCTTTGTCGGATAGTGAAAGCCTCATGCTAATAATATCTAGTAAGGGTCGGCGGACGACCAGCAATACGCCCTTCGAGAGTTCATCTTTTCACGGAGTTCAAGAAGCGGTATGCACCTGGCAGTGTGCCACTTCATCTTCAGCATCTCCTGGACCATAGATCTAATGGACTATGGATCCAAGCTTTGGCTGTACAGAACCAAGATGGGGACATGATCCAATGTAAGTAGCTCCTTAATATCCCCTTTCATTTGAAACGATACTGCTATCAGAATTACAAACGACTGACTCAATCATTTAGTGAAAAGAATAACCGATGAATCAACACCCCAAGGGGAAGACTTTACTGTCTGGAAGTGGTTGTTCTGTGAACTTGGAGAAGGGGAAGATCTGAACACCTTGGTGACGGAAAAGGAGAGATGGGGATGGGCTGGAAAGTTCACGTGGGGAACGCCATTGGAGAGGGGAGAGCAGTGGGGGCATGGACAGTTACTTGGTGGAGATGAGGAGAATATCGTGGTGTTGACGTAGGGCCTCTGATACAGTATGAGCATGGGGGCTGATCCTCGCATGGATCAGCAGCTGCCAAGACACGGGTCGCACCGTGACACTCGCGCCCTGGCACTTTTAGAGCACTCTACTGTTGATGATGGTCAGGGGTGGGTGATGTGGTGGATATGAACTTACGACTTACGAAAAGACGAGACGACGACACGATCATCCTTCTTTCTCAATTCATCCTGACTATAGATATTTGCATTTATATCGGCGTCAGATTTCGCCTCGCATGGTGTCTAGAAGTTGCGAAAATTTTTGCCTGGCATGGCATTGTTTAGAGGGGAATTGGGCTTATACCATCGTTGCATTTGCGTTCGCGTTGCGCGCTGGATTTTATTATAAAAAGTATTTTACTATCTTGATACCCATTAAACTAATATGGCTTGCCATTTGTTCTCATACATGACCTATTCTTGATATCTCCGTGATTAATACATATCATTTCCTGGTATCGAATGTTTGATGGTTGTAGCAGTTGAGCATGTCTAGAATTCTTCGACTTATGAATTTATAAGGTAGACTATTGACTATTAATCAATGACCAAAAGCAGCGCATCTAGAAGCCGTTGAGCTCACTTGATAGATTAAGTCCGCTGGTAAAGTCTTTCAATTTTGGATCTTAAAAAAATCCAAGCATGGGCAGTTCAAAAGTTGTAAATTATCCGAAGGAAAAAAAATTCCTATTTTCTCCCGAGAGACCAAGTACTCAAATGCAACGACAACGGCATCTCACTGAATTTGACAATAAAAGCAGTAGTCTTTGGCGCATCTCGCAGATCTAAATCGCCACGAACTACTCTACACAAAATATCTCGCGGAACAATCTATCATTTTCAAAATTATTTTCATTATGACGAGTAACGAATCGAGGTTAGAGAAGGTTAAGTTTACTTTACACATCAACTCGATTCTTATTGACTAGAATGATAGACAGATAAAATAAGATCGTCAAGGCCTCTGATCACAAAAGACAGTTATCCCATTAATTCAATCAACAAAAGTTTAGGAGGAACAATGTCCAGGCGTACAAATAACCTGGACAATAGAGACACGCTACTCACCTACCTGCTTCAATCCACTGAGATTTCCGATAGTGTATCTCCGCCTGGATATTGCACTCTCTTGATATGGCTTAACTAGACTCTATGCCTGGAGAACTCGGATCCCGATGCGGTGAAGGGAACCTGTCCAACCTTAGTCTGAAATCGTCTTTGGACCGAGAATAAACATCAAGCACTTTGGGTGGAAGAGAGAGACACACTACTTGAATATATGTAGACTTGAAGATCTCATAGCTTCGAGCCAATGAAGAGAATGGATGGATAAGAAGTTATGAAGAGTACCCCTAACGCTCTTTTTAACCCTGCATTAATAGAAATGCTCGATCCAATAGCGGTTTGAGCACTCAACGGAAAGAGATACTCCATTTTCGTTTCCTCGGCTATTTGGACTACATGAGCACCAAGTTCCGTCTCATAGTCATTCATTTTCAACTCCTCCATAGAAACTAAGCACCTCCCAAACAAATCTTCATGGACTTCCTGCTCACTGGCTCCGCAGGCTTATATCTTTAGGCGTATCTGAAGGAACCCGATGAGAAACAACGGAGTAGATGTATCAGGAGCGTGGAAGCGATGTCACGAGGCCTCTGCTGTAGTAGTAACGCTTGCATAGAATAGCAAGTCCCATATCCGATAGAGAGGAAAAGCTGCGGGGAATTAAGAAGAACCAAGTTAGGGAGTCCATGGAATTAAATACTAGATATTAGTATAAATTGAAGAAACGGAGTGGTCCAGAGATAATATTTTAGCGAAAAATGTATCAATTCAATTCGTCCATCCAAATTTGGCAGCCCTGCCCGAGTATTTCTTTCGAATTAAGCGGCTAACGACAGTTGTTTCATATTATTCTGATCATTTCCGATAGTAGACCCATAATATCCTGCCAATTTTCCTTGGAAAACTCTAATTAAATCATCAGTGCACTCATCAATTCTGTCCAAAACAAAAACTTTACCTACTTTCCGAAACATTTTCGACCATAGATATAAATACACGCCACACGTTTCCCAGTAGACATTACGAGCTAGGTTTTAATTTTGGCGACGCTATCAAATAATCCCGAATATCCGGTACAAGTTGTTGTTTGCTTTCAAGAGCTTATAGATCAGACTCCGAAGCACACATACTGTAATGCCTAGTTGAATTAAGAGTTACTACTGTTGCACTAAAATCCAACATCGGATGATTCGATTTCCATGGTCTACACGCGAAACCCAGCAGCTCGCCAGATAAATTGAAAAGTATGAGTTCCTTTTCTGAGGCCACCATACACATACAGAGGAAATTATAGGAGGTGGGTATTCCTCTCTGTTCGAAAATTTGGATTTCTTTGAATTTCTGGATTTATTTTGCAAGTACTGGGGACCGAGTAACCATTGTGACTGCACATTCCTCCTCTGTCGTCTTGGGATGCGTTAAAAATAATGAATATATTGTAACATTCTCCTGATCGATCTTTTGTTCCTGCAACACTGCCTCAATCCAATAGAATCTGTCTTTATTATGACACTTCATATGGATGTTTCAGTCCAAGATAATGTTTGAACTTAATGTTTACTTTTGAATCTTTTGAATCTTTTGAATCTTTTGAATCTTTTAAATCTTTTAAATCTTTTAAATCTTTTAAAGTTTCATTATTTCATTATACAATCATATTCTGAGCTTACTCGCTAACCTCACTACTTTCTATCTTCGGCACAACGCAAGGACGACCACCAACAGAAGCAGAAGGCCTAGCGCTTACTTGTAAAACTGGTCCCAGCGTACTATCCGACTTATTATTTCGGTCTCTGTGCGCCAGCAATTGCATAAACAGATCTTCAGAAATCGCATGGTTGACTTGAAGGCCATTTCCAGCAGCTTCGTTGTCTCTAATTTCCAGCTGAGATACTTCTCGCCACCCCTTTTCTCCAATGGGTCCATTGATCTGTAGCGCTTGGTCTCGGGTCACATTTTTCAAAACCACCCGACTGGAAACCTGACCCGCGTCTTTGACATTTCCATCTGTTCTTGAGGAGAGATCTTCACTCCTGATATGCACCAGTCCATCTTCTAGTATCTGTTAGCGAAGTCTCGCATTAGGTGGACTAGCATACTTTCGGGGCAATGGCCCTTAACCATATCTGCAATCTTAAGACCTCCATCATCTCCAAATACATTGCGAAGTAGCCCGTCCACTCGATTCAAGATCTCCATGTTTATCGCAACTTCATCGCCTACGAACTGCGTCACTCCCACATGGGCAACATGTAAACCCAAACCCAAATTCGACTTTGCGTGCTCAAGCCGCTCCATCAGCTTTGCGAGTGTCTCCTGCTCTTTGGTTCCCTGGAAGAATTGGTGAGCAAAACGCCGTGCTTGACTCTTGTCTCCCGGTACCATTGATTCTAGGGTACCTATCAGCTCCATCGCTATCTTACGAATGTTCTCAATCTCAGAAAGAACAGCCGCAGTGCGCAAATTAGCTTCATGCTTGACGAGCTCGAGGATAGTCAAGATTCCTTGAATCTCCACAACGTGAGCTCCGAGCACTCTTGAGGAGTTTTTCTGGTCGTCGTATGTTTTTCGCAGTCGGCTGAGAAGACCGATGGTCGATTCTAGCAATGCCGATACAGCAGATATCGCTCCTATGATTTCCAATCCGGCCTAGTTTTCATTTAGTATATCTATCCACCTTACATATCTTCGATAGAGTATCTACCATCCTATGAGACTTTGCAGTAAACGATAACGTAAGATTCGTAGCCACAAGTTTAGTTTCTCAGTAGAGGAAACTAGATAAATACTCGGAATTCTGCTATTCTCAGACTTCCAAATATATAATCCGGATCTCGAGGTCTTCTAGTTAGTTGTGGGTTGGACACCACAATCAAAATCTCAGAACATGCCTACATACATACCCAGTATATAAAGAAACCCACAACAGCAAATAATCCCGCGCGTATCTCCAATCCCAACCCCAAACCCTACCCCAACACCCAACACCACTCAACCATCCCCCCTCCTCACAAAAACACCAACAACCCACCAAACCATCGAGCAAGCAAACCAGCTTCGCGGGTACATAAATAAATACATTCAAGCTGGCGATGCGCTTTGCTATATTTTTCCACGCCGTCGATCTGAATTTATTGGATATCAACACACCTTCACATTCGCAGGGGAAAGTGGTGTGGCAGATACATTCCCCACCTGGCGATTTATTGGTTCATGTAAGATTACGATATCCATGTGTGCGTTCACACTGATGAGGCAGGTAGGTAGGCGCCTAAGTGGATTCGAATGTATGGAGTGGAGTACTTAAGCGATGTGGGGAATTTGAATCGATCTTGCATGAAAGTTTTCTTGAGTATCCAAATCTTTGCTGATAGTACTGGTAACTCGGAGAGTATAATTCAGAGGTTCTCTAGTTGCGAATTCCAAATATTCGATGGATGTTGAAATAAAATCATATGTCGCAAGTGGAAACATACTGGCAGGAAGTGCGAATATTCAGATGGATGGCCTTCTAGGGAAAAATACTTTTATTTACTTCCTACTCAGATTACCTCAAAGATACAAGAGTTATAAACACATACATATACAAACACCGAAGCATATATTAAATTTCAACATAACAAATTCAATATTATCCTCATGAATTTTCTCTTCCTCTTCCCTAATTACACCTCGTAACCCGCATTCCTCATCTTCATTCACAATCTCTCTTCCTCCCGCAACATCCACACAGCACCAGCTAGTATAGACAAGCAAAGCCAGATTATTAATACACATAAATATACACAGCGACTCTCCCTTGCCTTCTTTTCCACGACGAAGCGAAACCGAGCTAATCCAACTCAAGACGTTCCAAATCTGTTCCCTGGTTCTCAAGTGACCATCACAAGCGAACCCCTATTTCCTCTTTTCTTTTCACACATTCTCCCTTATCCACCTCTTTCTTGTCCTCTCTCCTATTTCAAACAAAGAACCCAGAAAAATCCAAGCCAGCGCAAAAGCAAACTCAACAACAGCGAACGGGGTATAACCACAACCAGCCAACCAACCAACCAACAACGCGCCCAATCAAATCCAGTAAGCAATTTGGGCCAACTAAGAGCAAAACCAATGCCAATTAAATAGCAAAGTAGTAACAAGAAGCGCACTACTCATCAAAGTGCCTACAGATTAAAACGTCCTACATCTTCCCAAAAACTTGATAAACGCCATTCTTTCCTTTTTCTGTCATACTCGCCATGTAATCATTCCTCCATCTGTCATCCATCAAGAGAACAGATTATCGGAAGCTTTTTGAGGGCAGCGTCATGCGTATCGTATATACATAATCGTCGTAATGTATCTTTCTTTTTTTATGTGATAAAAACTGCATCAGTTTCATCCAGTGATTGTGGTATCAACTTCTGCTTCCTCATCTTCATTTTTTCCCTCGGCGACGGCTTGATGTGCCGCTCTTTCATGATAAATTCTCTGTCTGCCAATTTCGGCTGCATGTAAACTATCAATATATGTTGTGAACTTTACGATCTCGCGAAGCAAATATGAAGATTTCTTTTCCCAATTCGCCATTGCTTTTTGTGCGTTAGGATGACGCGGTGAATACTGTACTAGGTTAGTGAAAATCAACCACGAGGAAGAATTGTGATACTTACAGCTAGAAGCATTGGATTTCTCAACATATTGTGTTTTTGCAATTCTTCCTCAATACTCTGCACATAAGCAGTCAGTGTTTTCAACTGATCCGGCTCCATTAAATTACTAGCTCTCATGCTCTGTATTGGAGGACTCCAATCATTTATAGCAATTCTATCACCTGGCAATCTTGATCTAACCCCTCCTACATAGCCGTGATCCAAACTTGATCGTAGAGAGCTCTGCATGCTGGGCCTAGCACCGGAAGTTGATGGTCTGGTATTCTGATCGCTGATCGCAGTGACCAGAGCGTTATTTACAATCTCATCAGACCAGCCGTATTCGATATTACTAATACCACCTACGAGAGGATGGTTTGATAACCGAGCACTCCAATAGTTGGCTGTTGTGACAAATTCTTTGACGATATCTGCTGTACCTACTTGAAAGAGATGTACTGCTCCAGTGGGCAAGGAAAGCGCCCAGACATGAGGACGAGCTTTGGAGTAGCCTGGTGAAGGAAGAGCACTAGCGATAGTTTGTCGAAGGAGGAATGAACCAAGATTTTCGGCATTCTCTTGCCAGTTTCCACCACCAACAACTCCGCCACTAGTTTTACCCTTAGGCTTGCGGACATTCTTTGTGGAGAACGAGAACAAGCTCATGTAGCCTTTTTCGATAACAGCAAATGTTTCAACCCAATTACGATCCTTTGCTTTCTTGTCGAGAGCTTCCAAATGATGCTTGTGCTTGACCATACCTTCCTTCGCCCATGGTGCACCAGCCAATTCTAAAGATTCATCATCAAGCAGAGGGGCAACACGAAGTTCTTCATGATCACTGCCCCTACTCCCTGAGCTATGGACCGTCTCTTCACGGATGATTGCTTGGCTGAGAGCATTAGCGAATCCAATGGATTGTTGATAATCGCCTTGAAATGCCGAACCAAGAGAGTCCACGGACATCGAGGTATGTTTTCCAAGAGAATACTTGCTCCAAGTACTAGACGATACTGAAGGACTCCACATAGATGATTGATCATCCAGACTAGTTCGACTGGATCCCATTCCTGAGTTAGGATATAAACGAGGTCTCGATCTAGTCTTATTGCTCCACTTCCCATTTGTGCGTACAGTCTCTGCTGTTCTTCCACGAAGATAACTAGGTGATTCTGAGGGAGCTTTACTCAGAACACTAGGAGAACGGCGCAACATACCATTGGTGAATACCGAAAGAGTGCTAGATGACGAAGCCGGCATTTGTGACCTATCGACGGCACCAAATAATGGAAGTCGATCATTCCGGATAGAATTGTAAAAATCCTTAAGAACAATCTCAACCTGTACTTCCCACGTACGTAATGTTCCGCGGAAAGGTGCCTTGACCAAGGGGCCACAATCATCCATGGGAGTATCGTAATCTAAAGGTGTAGGGGCACTTGGGTTATCAGGATCTGGACGGGGCGCAGGCTTGAATGAAGACCTCCAGGAAGGTTTTTCAAACGCTTCAATTGATATAGCGTCGGAGTTTTCGTCATTGACATGAGGATCATCAAAAGCAGAACTTCTTCCAGGGAGCACTGTAGGCCTACTAGGCTCAAATTCATGCACAGACTCAGCTACACTTCGACGGATCGTAGGCATTGTATTCTTGATGAATTGACTACGAGTCATCTTTTGCTCAATATCGGCGAGATGCAAATCCGTGTTGAGGAGAAGAACTGAGTAACAAATTGTATGTACGACATCTAACAATATTAGCTTGGTACACTTTCGATAAACTCGCAAACTTACCAGTAGCTTTAAATCCATGGTTGGGATTGCTCTGACACCATCTCTTCGAAAACGCGTCCAAGATTCTGTCAACTTGTTGACTTTCACCCTTGAGCACTAATCTGCCACACATTACACGCATCGAGGCAAGAATATTAAGATTCGAGAAGTCATAAAGGCTCATATAAGCTGTTAGCGTCCTTGCTCGAACAGCTCCCTCATCTCCCATCCATGCCGTCGCCTTTTCTTTTTGAATGAAATCCTCATTGCCATCATAAATTTTCTGTGCTCTAATTAGGTCCTCTTCCGTAGGTTGTGTATCGTCGACTCCTTCTGATTCGGAGTCATAAAATGGCTCGACATCTTCTCTATCAGACATAGTAGGTGGGCTGGAAGGGGGACCTTCTTCTTGTCCCTCAACTTGCAACAGTGGTAGACTGACAGCTGATTTGTATATGGTATCTGTAGATCCTGTAGCTGCAATCGAGTTTGCGAATTTAGGTTTCAAGGTATTTGTACCTGGCAGATCATCTTCAGATGATCCAGGTTCCAACCAAACGCGATCTTTCTCTGGAAACTCAGATTTAGAAGGAGAAAGAACGATCCAATCTTCTTCTTTGGCAGGACCTGCTGGTAGTTCCTGACTGTCATTAGAACCCACCTTGCTTAAAGGTGAATCCAAAGGAGACTCTGCTGCCCTGGGCTCTGATTTCGGTAGAACTTTGGAAGATGTTGGAGAACGTTTGGAATGTATTCTTTCATATGCCGCAACAAGAGCGATATCTCTCGCCACCGAGGTAGGGTGACCAGGAGATGTCGTACTGGGTAACGGTGTATTACCAGGTACATCTTTCGTGATCTCCAACTTAAACTTCGCGTCACGAACATTCTCAGTAGAACCTTGGAAGAATGTTTCACGTTCCTCTCTGGCCTGCCCATCGAATCCACCAGGTATTGCTAAGTTGGTACTTGCCGATCTACGTGGTTGTTTGATGGACGAATAAGATGGCTTGCGACTATCCCCGGCATGCGATGACGCGGGTTTCGAAGGAGGTATTTGTCTGATAGTAGCATTTGGGTCGGGATCGTAGTCTGGAGAAAAGCCTCTTACATGGCGTCTATTTTCAACATCATCGGAAATATCATTAACTTGCCGATCGAGACTAGCCGTTGGTGCATGAGCTTCAATAGGAGGTCTCCCTGGGCTATGAAGGTATGGATTCATGACTTGGCGAAGACTACTGACGGGGCTTGCCTCAGGTTGCCAATCTGGAATGTCCGGTCGCAATTTGTGTGGCTCGAGTTTCATGGGTGGCAACGGCATTGGTGGAACGGGGACAGGTTCGGGCTCAGATACCGACTTTTTACGCCTTCGGAAGAATGATGATGGTTTTTTGGTAATTACATGTGGTTGTTCCTTTGGGGCTTGCGGATTTTCTCGAGACGGTGCTACGTTGTTAGACTTCATCTGGTTAGCAATGTGAGTTTTGCTACCTGGATGATCCGCCGTTT